CAGTTATTTCTCCACCATTCATTGCTTTCAACTGGGCCATTAAAAATATATCTTGTTCAGATCTAGAGAGAGCTTGAAACGCTTCACGTAATTCGGCAAACCCTTCTTTCGAAATCGTTTTTGAGCAACCACAACTGCAACCTAACTCTAAAAAACGGATTGCTTTTTCGTATTCGGCTGAGCCATTATATTCGTTATTTATCATATACGGGTAGTTCTATATATAAATTTTATAATTTACGTTTAGCAGTAACACATAATTATTCACATCAGGCAGGAAGTTATTACAACTTGTGTTTTATTCTTGTAAACAAACAGAATTAAAAACTAATGGTAATCAGACACAGACTATTATTTTACTATTACCACTGTTATTTTCTGCAGCTATCAAAAAACTCATGCCTTAATGCTTCAGATGCTGATAGCCTGCTTTCCCTTTGTTTTAATTTACTTTCTAAATCATGTGCAGAATAAGATAAGTTGGCAATACCAGATCTAGATATTAGAAGTCCTACCAGATATATGTCTATACTTGTTTCATAAGAAATATAAGCTTCAGGAGGCCAGTCAGGCAGTTGAATCCTGGGTATTTTTCCGCTTTTTTCTGAATGCTCATAATCTAAGAGTAGCCAATTATCTCCAGATTTCATAACATTAGCCCACCTTATATCCTGATGAACATAACCATGCGAATGTAATACTTTGAGAACTGTGAGTACTCCCCATAAGGCCCATTTTAGTTCAGCTTCACAAGATGGATTTCTGTGATAACACACAGGTGTTACAGTGACTGAATAAGTCAGTGACACTTCTTCTTGACCATATGCACGTTTTTTATGTTTTACAAGCTTTGGTTTTTCAACATACTGAACAGAGTCGTTAATGCATTCATCATCTCGGATAATCTCATAAACTGACTTGAGAACATCAAAGTTGGTAAATCCTCCATCAGCATACTCATGAAAGTTCTTAATTTCTTTCAATACAACAAAGTGAGAAACTCGACATATAGTTGTATTATAAGGATGAGTAATGGTTTTGTAAAGTGGAAGAGGTATATTGATTGATGGTACCAGCTTCTCTAATGTCACAAGGAGACAAAACATATTAAAAGCTGAGATAAGAACCTGTTGTTATTCATATTATAGTTAATGTATTAGTAAATGTAAGTTCATTATTAAAAAATAGTTGCTATGTAACTTACCAAAACTCGATGAAGCAGAAGAGAAAGATTATATCGAGGAGATATAGGATGTGCTGTTAGATCCCTTCCAACAATAAACCATTGAAATTGTTCCTTTGCAGCAGCATAACAGGGCAAGTAAGGTAATTCCCCAAAAAGAGATGTGTCCCATCTTTTCATCTTTGATTCTAGTTCTTTTACAGCATTATCAAACTCATCAGAATCCTTCTTTTCTTCTGCTTTGAATATCAATACATCATGCAGTAAGGCAATCAGATCTGGACAAAGCATTTTTTGTGTTGCACCAGATGTATCCACAACATTGCGATCAACTTGTAATCCAAACTGGAGACTTTGGCCAAGGCTCTGCCATATTCGTTTAACTAAAGCATCATACTCACTAATCAAGTTATTCTCACTACCTACTATTGTAAGCATTAGTGCAGCTTCACATAGAGAGGAAACAGTATCTCCAGTTTGACCAACATCCTCATCAATAAAGTAGTCTCCAACATTTAATAATGCTAATTCTGGTGATGTAGCCATTTCATGATACAGTTTGTGCCGTATAGGAATCTTTTGAAGAAATGGATGCTTAAGATATGCTTCAAGCTCATTCTCACTTGGTGGATTAGTAAGTTGCTGAGAAAACTGAGTAATAAGTAACCGTTCAATCGACACTTTCCCCCCTAGAGTATAAGATCAAAAAGATGAGCATTGAAATTACTCTATTACTATAGCAACATTCTCCCAATAAATTCATAATAAAGGAACAATAAGAAATGATTTTGCTTCATAAACGAAGAAATATATTACTATATCTATTCTACCCTATGTACTCTATGTCCCCAACGCCCGAGTCACAAAGTCGTTACCTGGCTGAGCATCCTGTTCCCTCTTCAGCACCTCCTCATTCCACTTCACCCACACCTTTCTACACTCCTCTACGGCTTTTGTCAACCTGGTCTCCTCGCCTTCCAGCCTCTCCAGCGCAGCCGTATCCCTTGCGTCGAGGTGTTTCTCCTCCCTCAACCCGTCCAGCTTCTTTCCCTTGTACTTTGACTCCTGAAACCTCTCCAACGCCGCGCTCGCCTTGTTCAGTTCATCCTTCGCTTCCTGTTCTTTCTTCTGCCAGTACTCAAGTGTAGCCATGGTAGAGCGGTAAAATTTTTCGTGTGTCGGTGAATTGCAAGTTGTTTATGTGCTGCGCAATACTTAATCTTTGACAACTACCCAGAATCGGTTACAGTAACGTGACCATCCGTACGACATCTTCAGCCGGTCATCAGCTTTGAAATATTGTGTCGCATGTGAGATTTTGGTGTCGCACACTGCTTTCTCTATTTAGAACTGAGCTGCGTTTACATTTCCTAATAAAGAAACGTTTAAGGAGTATGTTTAATTGATTTTGTATAATAAAAGTACAGTCAACTCTCTCCAAATGCACTCTCTCTAAATGCACTCTCTCTAAATGCACACTCTCCTTAAGTGCACGGTATTTCAAATTCCCAACTGAGGGAATTAGTGATAAGTGCACACTCTCCCTATTCTGCACGTGCAACTGATTTCATAATCCCAAAGCCTCATTTCAATAT